ACTGGGAGTCACATTCAACAATTAACAAGTTTATTAACAAATACAATCCGAACAGAGCCCTACACATGGCCGACTGTCGTAAGGACGCCCGAGCACGCACACACAGAACGAGACAGACCTACATCTACATTGTCCACTGTTCTATCATTTGGCTGGCCATTATACAGTGTGTGTGCGGCGCTTCATCTGACAAATTATAAAAACAAGTATGATAAGATAATATTTAAGAAGAGATATATATTTGTACTGGATGTGTGTATTGTGTAGTGTGTGTCCTGTAACTAACTCCTCATCCCACTTGTTGTTAGACCAATCCGGCTACCGTAGCTAAACACTTCTAGTCATACTTTAACAGAAACATGAAAAAAAAATCGAAATTCAATAACTTTAATAATTTTCAGATTTGCTTATATCGCATACCAAAATCCTTGAAATGAAAAGATTGCTAATATGGTGCCACTTTCACCAAATAATATGAAAATATTGTTTTCTCTCTTCTTCATTCATTTAAGGATTAAGCTTGCCATATAAAAAAAAAAACTCAGTATACAATATTGTCAATTTAGTTCCAGTGTCAGGCAAATAGCGCTGTAACAATATGCACTATATGTATCACAATACATACATTGCTTTGAAATTTTTACTTTATGATAAAGATTCTACGTCGAGGACTTATGCTATACACCTGAGGTGCTACATTACGTATGGTGATCATTACAGGTATTCACCAGTACTGGCCTCATCCCACATGCTTCACGTCTAAGTCGCTTATCAAATTACTGTGAAACAGTTGAAATATCATACCATGCGTCAATAACTGAACATGTCCCATATACATTGCGTTTCTGGATTCCCAAATCCTATTCAGGGAGACCATCTGTTGCACCAGGTGCTAATGGGGGCAAAGCAATTTTAAGGCACTGCACACTATCCAGTTGATGTAATTATGCCAGAACCTTTGCTTAAATTTGGGTCCACAATTTCCTGGAAGCATAGTGGTGATTTTTCGTTCTGGTGTGCATGTGTAGTAGCCTTCTTTGGAATATTGCGCCCTGGAAACATTGTGGTACATATTACATTAACCCTAATTGTGACCTGCGTCGTCTTGGTGTGTTGGCCTGTTTGTAACTGTGGTATAATACTAGCCGTAATATACCGCTGTGTTAGAGAGAACTTCTCTTTAGCTCGATTGGTAGAGCGTCAGGCTAGTAAGCTAGGGGTCCCGGGGTTCGATTTCTAGTGGAGGCATTGAAATAAATAATCATTACCTAATTGGCTTAATGTGGTTATTGACACTGATACTCTTATCGAGGAGCAATTGTTACGTGTTCGCCAAGTGCTCTGAAATTGGAAACATGTGTTTTCAAGTGGTACTTTAGACTTAGGACGTAGGGACTTAGTTCAACATAAGATTGAACTTCTCGAAGATCGACCTTTTAAGCAACCGTACAGGAAAATACCACCTGGTAAGTACGAAGAAGTCCGTCAGCATGTTAAGGACATGCTAAATGCAGGTGTCATCAGAGAGTCAAACAGTCCTTATTCCTCCAGTGTTGTCTTTATTAGGAAGAAGGATGGCTATCTGCGGTTTTGCATCGATTACAGAATGCTTAACTTGAGAACACGCAAAGATGCATACATGTTGCCTCGATTTGATGATACTGTGGCCTCACTAATTGGGTCAAAGTATTTTAGCAAACTCGATTTACGGTCAGGTTACTGGCATGTATAGGTTTCTGAGGCTGTATAGGTTTCTGTCGGAAACCTTGGATTTTATGAAACAAACCGTATGGGGTTTTTGTCTTACCTGTGCTCCAGCCACGTTCCAACGGCTAATGGAGAAATGCATGGGTGATATGCATCTACGGGATTGTCTTATATTTCTCGACGACATCCTCATCTTTTCTAAAACGTTTGACGAGCACATCAGTAGGCTAGAATCCGTGTTTACCAGACTTGTACATCATGGATTGAAACTCAAACCTTCCAAGTGTGAATTCGTTAAATCTAGCATCACCTACCTTGGTCATGTAGTGTCAGAGAAGGGTATTGCAACCGATCCTTAAAAGGTGTCGGCTGTTAAAGATTGGCCTGTACCAGCAAATGTCAAAGAAGTACGACAGTTTTTTAGGGTTCTGTGGTTACTATTGGCAGATCATCAAGGACTTTGCTAGTATAGTACAGCTGCTGAATAAGCTTTTACAGGGTCATGATCTGTCAAAAAAGGTTCTAAACCTAAAAGGGCCAAGCCTAAAACCAAAGGCTGAATGGGTCTGGGGAGACCTACAGCAAATGGCTTTTGACTCTATAAAGGCTAAACGGTTGGAGCCTCCTGTGTTAGCTTACATGTATGCTGACTATACCAATCCTTTCATCGCACATACTGATGCTTCAGCAACTGGACTGGGTGCTGTTCTTTACCAGCTTCAAGATGGAAAGGAAAAAGTCATAGCGTATACTAGTCGGGGACTCAAACTAAGTGAGCGGAACTATCCGGCGCATAAGCTGGAGTTTTTAGCACTTAAGTGGGCAGTTATGGACAAATTTCATGATTACTTATGTAGTAGGGTATTTATTTATGATAATATTATGCTATTTGTGTAAGTACATACTCTATGCGGGTTTGATTGAAATCTGTTTTGTATGCGCGTATATTGTCTGGTGTGAAAGATGGGGTAAGGACCCTTAATGAATCTGTCTGTGTATGTGATATGTACTTACCTGGTATGCATGTGAGTGTATAAGAGTTGTGATGACATCTGACTTGGGACGGGCTTTACGATTGGTCATGACGGGTGGCTCAACTTACCTGTGTACAGGTGTTGGCCAGTTTGGGCACTCCATTCCTGACCAGCAGACAAAGCAGACATATTCCTTGGGAGGTGTGAAATCATAAGACATTTGACAGGTAAATTTAAATATTAAGTTTTATAACATTCTTTTGTAATAGTTTTCTCATATATATAACATAAAGGAAGTAAGTGAATATTATATAATTTTGTAAAACTAATTGTCTTTTAACTTTTATTCTTGTTTTTGAATGTACTTGACTTTCGTCATTGAATAATTTCAAGGTCATAGCGAAATTGAATGATAGGAACATAAAACTTAGTAATTCCATTTGTTATTTGGTTTTACATTTGTTAGTTGGTTTTCCATAAATTGCCATTTAATTCATAATTATTAGGGCTATTTATATTATTTTAGAATACTGAAAATTCGGAATATTGATAGAGGAAAAAGTGAAGGAAACCTCCACACCATGGCTGTGGGGTGAGTGAACTAAATAGGTTTTTATATTTTAATTGTATTTTACTATTTATGTAGCTGTAGAAAGTGTTTAGTGTTTTAGTATGAAGCGTATGAGTAATTTGTGTGGTTTGAATAGATATGATATTTATCTGTCTGAATATATAAGTGATTTGTAACCTTTTGGAACTATAATTGGATTCATATGTTCAGTTTTGAGATTTAATAACAGTTTCGCAATAAATATCATTGGCTATGTACATTTGATAGGGTAAAATAGGGGTAAATGGATTGTTATATGACTGCATTTCTGCAGTAGGAGTTATTTCCCTTTGTTATGTCGAGTGTGCGAGATGTGTAGTCGAGCATAAGAGTTTATATGTTGTATTTATTTGTTGACAGGGTTTTTTTTAATGGAAAGAACGTATGAATAAATGTGAATAAAACTACTCCCGGATCTGGTTTCTGTTGGAACTGTGAACCCCGGTAACACTTATATGGTAATACTTTTGAGGTTGTAACAGATAATAACCCCCTTACTTATGTGCTTGGTAAAGCTAAGTTGGATGCCACCGGACACCGATGGGTTGCTGCTCTGGCTAATTATAATTTTACCCTTAAGTACCGTGGTGGGAAGAATAATGCCGATGCAGATGGTTTATCTCGAGTATGTTGCGCAAGTACCGATGTTGTCAAGGCTGTATGTCAGTACGCCATCTCTGATTACCCCTTTCCAGAAAGTGATATCTGTGACAGTGACACTCATGTGGCCAGTGGGTGCTCACAGTCAGTAAATAGCTCAGTAGATTGGAAGAAACAACAATCGGAGGATCGTGATATAGCGAGAGTTTGTGACCTTCTGAGAAACAGTTTTCACCCCAGGGGGAAGACACTACAAGATGAATCTTCTGTTGTAGGGAAACGGCCAGGTTGAAAGGTTTAACAGAACTCTGTTGGCAATGCTCGGTACCTTAGAGCATGACTAGAAAGCAGACTGGAAATCTTATGTAGCGCCTCAGGTACAGGCATACAATGCAACAAAGAATGACTCCACCGGGTATTCAACCCATTTCCTAATGTTTGGGAGGCACCCCCGCCTGTCAGTTGATGCATTCGTTGGTACAGAACCAAGGAGTGAGGGAGCAGCAGAACCAACTTCATGTGTCGGCAAGCTCAAAAATAGGATGGAATATGCCTATAAAGCTGCGCGAGCAGAGGCATCCAAGAATGCTGCCCGAAACAAAGACCGAATTGATCGGTCCATACGGGAATCTCGGCTCAATGTTGGTGACCGTGTTCTTGTTCGAAATGTCGGTCTCCAAGGAAAGAACAAGTTAGCTGACAAATGGGAACAGGAACCCTATTTGGTTTTGAAGATACCAGATAGTGATATTTCTGTCTACCAGGTTAAGATGGAATCGGGCAACGGTGGCATACGCACCTTGCACAGAAATATGATGTTGCCCTTCAATTCCATGCCTGTAGACGTTCCTGAGGTAGCCCTTTCTAGGGCAAGACCATTGTTACCAGCTTCATTTACAACCGAGAGTAAGAATTCGTCATCTGTTGATTCTGACAGCAGTGACGACTATGCTCCAATTCCTCCTCCTCGTCCAAAGAGGCGTCCCAGGATCCAGAATCTAAGGCCAGCGGAGCCAGTCTGTGAGGTCATAACCCTGGATGACACTCAGCTCATGGTGAGCGACAGCTCTTCCCGTGAAACATTTTTTTAAGAAGCTGAGAACCTTGATATGTCCATACCGGAAGTGCACCCGCCTTCTCCGGAAGTAGGAGCTACTGCACAGGACACCTCACCGGTTGCTCCGACGCGTTCCACCCGCAACATTAAACCTCCAGACCAGTTTGGTGAATGGACCTATCATTCCCAACAAGCTCAGTGGTTACAAGGAAACGTCAGTGTAAATAATAATAAAAAGAAATCCCCGGACTGTCTTTTCCAAGTGCCAAATTGATACGTAATTTGATTGTTTTTGTCCCTATTTTTTTAATATGGAGTCTTGTCCTACATATACCAGGGCTTTCCCCAACCACTGGATGGGGATCATGACCCATTCATTCATTTTCCTTTAACTAATATCGCGTTTTCTAGTGGTTATGACAAACTATCAGGGGTTGACCTTCATAATCAAACTTGGTGTTAATACTACCTTTACTTGTGAAGGTAAGAGCATGATAATTAATAATTAGTATATTACTAATTCCATGGCTTCAGTGTGTAGTAACGTAGTACAGGGTCTCCGCACTCCCAATAACTTGTGACTGCTCTGTGGAGTGATTTCCTTGTTGTAGCTAGCACAACAGACGGTATATCGTCCATTTGTCCTATTTAAATTTGTATTAACTAGGATGAATTTATGGGTTCAGAAATGCCAGGAGTCATTTTCCAAAGCAGGGGAATATGTAACCAGGTGTACAATAATCTCTGTCACCAGCGCGCACGAAATTAGCACGAGCTGTGAAAGATTGCATGAGAGTTGCGCATGCATGAGTCACGAACCACCTGTTACCCCGAATTCCAGTCACATCATTCTGCACCATGTTACGAACTTTTTGTCATTGATTGAGTTATCGCTATTCAATGCGAACTCTTTTATTTAAGTCCAGAAAGTAGCGAAGATGGACTGTCCGAAGCCCAGCTGCATAACTATAGATGAGTTTGAAACTCTGTTAATACAGTGTGTTGGATATAATAATTTCAACCATTTCTTCAACAAAATGAAGCATAAACCTTCTGATGCGCACCCAAATGCTTTTATCTAGGATATTCTTCACGCAAAGTGTGTTGTAAACGGTGCAGCTGGAAAAAAATACCCCCAATATTTAACAAAAAAGCACGTGGTCACAGCACTGTCACGGTCGAATTATTTGCCATCCTCATTTTTTGAAAGGAAAACTTTGAAGTCGACATTGTCCGAGAGTTCCTGTTCCAACGATAGCCTTACATTTATATCTAGATCAAGTAGCGATAAAGACAGCAGGGTGTCTGACTTTACATATGATTTGCCTCGTTCAGCATCGTATGTGTTTGGAGGAAGACGTCAGTCAACTTTTTCTGGGTCGGGTTTTATGAATCCTAAATATTTAGATCACAAAAACAAAATCACTAAAGATTTATCATACAGCGATAAAGCTCACAGACACTCTTATCCATCTTCAACCACACATATCTTATCTTGAAAAACGTTTTCATTCCCGAGATATAGTACCTCTTTGCCGGATATGAGATTATCGTCCAGGAGATGTCCAAGACCACCACCTTCGGAATATTGCCAATGTGGAATGAAAATGGTGGAGCATATTGGATACAATTGCTCAGCATTGTTCCAGATAGATGTGGGGAGTTTGAATTCGTTGTCGCAAAACTCAATATGTAATTATTTTTTCTCCTTTATTAAGTTTATTTCAATGTAAAAAGGAATAATGAAAAAAAAAATCCCACACCTGACAGGATTCAAACTGTAGTCGGACACTCTGCTGCTGTCTAAAGGAAAATTCCCGCTAGCCTGAGCTAGTAAATTTAACCTGTACTCTTCATTTTACACCAAATTCTAATATGGTTGGGAGTTAATATTTGCATACTTATCACATAATATAGGCCTTGATCATAACAGGTTTTACATCCAATTTTGACTTTGAGTGTCCTTTGGACCATTTGATTAAAACTGGGGGTCCTAGATAATTAATATTTAGGATCATCATAAATGAAAACTTCAACATTGATTTCTTTTTGTACAGAGTAATACCACCAAATGATGAGAATTATGCATGGCACAGCCACTTGAAAAATGTGATACAGGTATGTAATTTCAACTTTACAATCTAACACACAAGTATAGATCTTTAACGTTATGATCATAAGTAAAAGTTTTCAGGTCCTTGGTCAAAAGCCAGTCAAAGATTAAATAGACTATTTATAACAAATAATGGTGTATTTTAATTTGAAAGTTTTAGTTCATGAAGTTGTTAATGCTTATTAGTGCATTGAAGTTATTTAGCACAATGTAGTGGTTATTAGCCTCTAGATCTTAAATAGGGTTTTAGCGGGATTAACTTGAATTCATCATGGTTAAAGTCACAGTGATTGATTACTTATGAAATCCTTTGGTTTTGACACATGATTGTCCTGATTTGGATAAACATTTTCAGAGGAGGGAAGAGAAATTTAATTGAGGGGTTGTCAAACTTTGATCCTAAAAATGAGTACTTTTGTCATTGAATGTCAGTATTAATTGATGAAAATCAGATTTTGAACAATTTCTGTTACATGTTTGTTTTTTTTCTTTACTAGGGTCCAGCTTAAGGAAGCTTTGTCAGGGTTCAATGATTCCTTGGTTTACATAAGAATCCCCATCCCCTCAAAGGATGCAGCCAATTTTTTTACCTGTAGGGGGAAGCTGTGTAAAATTACTATAAGAAGTGTATTCACTATACAAACAAGGAGAGACCTTGAGCCTGTTCTTGGTCAGGGCTTGGACTACAGGCTGATCAATGTACAAGGGGACAGCTTTTATGTCAAAACAAACACTCTGCGCCTGTGGGTGTATGAAAGGAAAACATTGAAAGATTTTATTGTATTCCCAGATCACGTGGAGGAAAGTGCTTTAAACAGGGGCTATTCATTGGTGCTGTCTTTTGTCCGTTGCCCTGGAAATGCCAACGATTTCCAAAAACTCTTAAATTATGATATTTCATAATTTTAAGAGTATGAAACGGTATTGCAATGGACAGTCAAACAGGGCTTTGTTTTATTAAGCTACAGTTAAGGTGATCTGTTTGCCTGCAGTTATCATTGCCTTTCATCCATTATTTGTTGTACCTTTAGATTTTCAACATGCTTATACAGAAATTTATTCTCTTCTCAATTTTAAAAGAAAAATTTTGGAATGAATGTATTGCAAAATGCTTCAGTAGCTTTAAATCCAGCTTAGAGGATCATTTATGTCTGAAATTGTTGTTCAAACCAAAACATGAAAAGCAGCTCAAGAAGGAGCTTTACAAGCTGAGAATCAAAGGTAAAAGGGAGGACGGCAGTATAATAGTTACTTGAAATCTCTTGAGAAACTGCATTTTAGATTAGATTGTTTTCTTGATAGACATGCACTGACAGAACAGTTGGAAAAAACTGTAGCTGAAAAGGAAAATCTATTGAAAGAAAACCTGAATCTTAAAGAAAAGTTTGCTTTTGTTACAAAGGAAAAATTTGTGGAGAAACTGAACACATCTAGTACTTTATCGATATCGAAGGAAAATAATGAACAAAATAAGCCAGAATGTAAACTTTCCAGCAGAAAACCATTTGAAAACTACACCTTCACATCAGTCAAAGGTTAGAAAGCTAGAAGTAGAATGTTGTAAGGAATCTTTGTTTGTATTAGAGAATTCAGGATGTAAACCTGTTTCTGTTTCTGTTGTCAGAAATAGCAAAAAGGAAACTCTTTTCCTAGTGGATGATTTTGATGCCTCACAGATCAATACTCTTGTTTACATATAAGGACTCTTATAATATTTGTAGACAAGCGTACTCTGAGATCAGCATGCTGTTTAAGAATTTACCTCATAGCTATAAGCTGTCCCAGTATGTAGCAGCTTTCAACAGTACATTTGAATTGTTTGATACACCTGATGGTCTTGGAGTACAGCAGTCGCTCGGTAAACAATTGAAGATTGTAGTTTCAGAGCTAACAAACAGAGATAAGAATTTTCCTAAAAATAATGGTGTTTTGAGCATAAAGGTGTCAGGGGATGGCACTAGAGTAGGTAAGCATTTGAATTGTAAAGATTTCACTTTCACAATAATGAACGAGGAAAGGTGTGGATCAGCATAGGGGCATTATCCCCTTATTATAGTTCAGACTTAAGAACGGTATGAAGAACTGTCAGTTGTTGTTTCTGACCTTAAAAAGGACATCAGTGATTTGCAGGGGGCTGAACTGAGTATTGGTGACAACACCTTTAAAATCAAAATATTTCTTGGAGGGGATCATAAATTTCTCCAGTTAACAGGCATAACTTCTATCCAGGCTACTTATAACTGTATTTATTGTAAGTGTAGTAGGCATAACTATTTATTGTAAGTGTAGTAGGCAAGAGAGAGGCAAAATGGACAAGATATGGTCTCTATCTGATGCAAGTAATGGTGCAAGGATAAATTATAATGAAACTGGAGTAGGTAATCCAAAACACAATTTTCAATGACAAACAAACCTCTGTTTGATTGCATACCTTTGCATAATGTTGTGATGATAACTTGCACATGTTTCTCAGAATTATGGATAAGCTGATTGCCCTTTTAGTATCAGAACTGAGAATGCTGGAAAATATTGGTGCTTCATGTACACAAAGATACTTCAAAACTGCAACACACAGAGCTTCAAGGCCCTGAGAAAGAAGCTTTATTACAAGAACTAGTTATAGAAGTTTTAGGATTCGAGTCCGAAAGAATAAGTGACATTCAAAATGTCTGGAATGGATTTAAAACTATACATAGTATGCTTAAATCTAGCTCTCCTGATCCAGCTATTTTGCAAGAAAACATCATATCTTGGTTTTCCAAGTACACCACCACTTACCAGTGTAAAGATGTCACTCTGTACATGCATTTATTGCGATATCATGTAGTGGACTCGATACATTTGCATGGGAATTTGGTCAGTTTTACCCAGCAAGGTCTTGAAAAGGCCAATGACAACATTACTTTTTTTCTTTTTTTCTTCTTCGATTTTTATTCCTAAATAACATTTATATGTGGTGTTTTAAAACAACACAGAAAACACCAATTTGTCAACAGAATCACATACCAAACTCAAATTCAATAAAACTAGGGAAAAGAAGGACATGTAAATCTTCATCAACCCAAGTAAGTATTATCATGTTCCTAAATGAAAATACAAACAATGGAACTATTAGGTATACTTATGAACATCAAACTCGCTCGATTTCATATCACAGAAGGAAGTAGAATATTACCGAATGAGACCTCTATGTCGACTATGAACCTTCCAAGTCATGAACCTGCACCACTCGAAACCTTGTGTGAAATCTTAAAAACGTGATATTGAAAACATGACCAAAATAAAGAAACAACTGCAACATGTAAAATATCATAAGTTGGGAAAGTTATGATGAAGTGCACTTTCCAGTTGAACAAAAACTACAAAACGTTTTTGTAACTGCTCATTTACAATATATCTTTATCTGGCATTACAAAACAGCCAGAAAAAATAACAAGTTAACAAATATCGTAAAGGGTATGCGTCTTCGGCATCAGCATCGATGATACTGAACATGTACAGCTTTGTCAATCCAAATGTCCTCCATCTTGGATATTTCCTTATGTGTTTTTTTATTTATTTAAAAAAAAAATAAATATCAAAGAGAGCTGCCAGGGTTGGGGCCCTGGGGTCAGCCTCTGTACATTAATTGTCCCCACGCAGGAGGTCATTCATCCATCACACAATGGTTCTCGTCTCTCACTGTTCGCTCTTTCCTTATACACTTATAACATACTCAAGTTTCAAATAAATATCATCAAAATTAAACGATAGAATTTAGTGTTCTGCTTTTACCAATCCGTGTTCTACTGTACCGAACGCGCCCACGATTTCCCTGAGTGAACAGCGGTAAACTGTGACCTAACGGTAGGAGCACATGGACTCCAGATAATAAGGTAATTTGAATAATAGTTGTTCGATATCGTAATATATATATATATATATATATATATATACATATGTTTTGTGTTTATCTGCATTTCATAAAACCTATAAAGTGTAAATATTGCCGCGCTATCAGGGTTTAGTTTGTATCCTTGTAGCGCTTTGACTGCACAGTGTAGCCTGTTGTCAGGGGGGCTAGCGTTACATGTGGCTGTGTAATCTACTGTAAGTTGGAATTTGGTACACATTTGTTTAAGAAATTTTAGTTATAAGTTTAGTTTAATGAAGTTTTTATTTATTTCAGAATTATGTGTAAAGGGCTTAAAGAGTGGAGGATTTATCAAGCAGAAATCTTGGGGTCATGATCACGTGACGTGTTGTTTACGTTAGCCTTAGGCTATATATGCGGTCGGCCTAAAGCCATCCAGCCCTAGTTAGCTCGAGGATGAATCCTGAATTTGGATGAAAAGTCACAGCAGATGAAAGAAGTTGTATAGAATAGAGGGATTTTTTTTTCTTTTTATATTTAATACATTCAAGATAGATATCAATTTTTTGCTTTAGAATATTTATTAGGCTTACTGGTTTTGATTTCTGATCACTTATAATGTAACATTTGTATATTACAAAACTAATGACAACATTACTAAACAATACTTTCGAGCAACCAATTACAAGGGAAATGTTACTCTCAGACAAAGTTTTGAAAAGCAAAATATAATGTTCATGTTGGAGTCAGCAAAAAGAGGGAAAGACTGGACGGTGAAATGTAGTCTCTGTAAACAAAATGGTCATCGAAGTGATAAATGTCCACTTCTAACATGAAATGACATTGAACTTTTCTGTGCAGCTAACAATGGGACACAATTTCAAAAATTGCTGTCAAATTTTTAGTTTTAGACGTTATGTGAGCAATAAGGGCATGCAGTTAATATTTTACAACTCCAGGAAGGAGATTTCCATTTTTTCTAATCAGTTATTTTCTATGGGTTATGTTTGATTCTGTTGATGTAATAGCAGTTGAAATTAATACACAGCTTAATGTGGTACTTAAATCATTTTGTGCTGAAAATTGTCTTAAGATCTATAATGCTTGAAGTAGAAATGTGCACGTGCTGTAGAATGAAAGAAAAGAAGTATTACTGTGCAGTTATATTTCAATCTTACTAAAAATAATCATTAAGAATCCAGCAGAAATGCGTGTACATTTGTATATGTTAAACTGAATATATATATTCCAGAACTGTAATGATATCACACGCATGTTGTTCATCTAATTATTGCAGTTATTAGTATAACTTGTATTGTGTGTGTGTTACGTCATAGGTTCTTGTGTGAGCCTCGTTATGGGAATAAAACACTTGTTCACAGTCCGCCATCTTATGAGTTATCATTACATGGTGTCAGAGTAAAAATGGACCAATTAAAGCCTCCTGAAGGACTAAAGATGGACGGGAACTTGTCAGAAAATTGGCGGAAGTGGTACCAAAGATTTCAGTTGTACCTTACTGCGTAAGGGATCGATAAAAAGGATGAGAAAATCCAAACGGCAACGTTTCTCCATGTGATCGGCACAGATGCGCTGGAAGTTTTCAACACTTTCAAGTTCGACAACGAAGGTGATCAAGAGAAAATGGAACCTGTTACAGATAAGTTTCAGCAGTATTGTAATCCTCGTAAAAATGTAACATTTGAACGGCACGTGTTCTTCACTCGAAATCAGCAGGCGGTAGAAACGATAGGCCAGTATGTTACAGAGTTGAGGACAAGGGCGACCACGTGCGAGTTCGGTGACCTCTGTGATAGCTTGATCAAGGACAGACTGGTATGTGGGGTTCGAGATGAAACAATAAGGGCAAGACTGTTGAGAGACTCTGATCTAAATCTCAAGAAAGCTATTGACATTTGTCGTGCTAGTGAAATGAGTGCATCACAGTTGAAATCACTAACCAGTGAAGATGATAAATTGGTCCACGTGGTGAAACAGAAACAGACACGAGGCGGCATGTCAAAGTCGGCACAAACGGGTAAGTCGCAATATGAGAATCCAGATAGAAAGGGAAAGGTACAGGTAATAGATACACACGATGACACTGAAGATCTGTTTATTGGAACTGTACAAGTGGACAAAGTCAGCACAGAGTCAGTGACAAATAATGATGAATGGTTTGTAAACCTTCGACTGAAAAACAAATCTGTGAAATTTAAAATAGACACAGGGGCTCAGTGTAATGTGATCTCGAAAAAAGACTACATAGCTGCAGGTGGAAAAACAGTGAGTAGAAAGAATGTCAAAAAACTGTATACACTGACAGGGGAGAGAATTCAAACCGTTGGTCGTGCAATGGTTCAGTGCGAGTACAAGAATAGATACTACGTGCTAGATTGTCATGTCGTTGAGCAAGACGTCACCCCTGTTATTGGACTTTTGTCATGTCAAGAGTTGAATCTTGTAAAGAAAGTTGATGCTGTTAGCACAGAAACAAAACAAAACACAGATATCCTGAAGGAATATTCAGATGTTTTTAGTGGATTACAAGGATCATTCTACAAACATCATATTGAAATAGACCCTACAGTGAAACCGGTTGTTCACCCTCCACGCAAAGTACCGTTAGCAGTACATGACCAAGTAAAACAGGAACTTGACAGGATGGAGAAATTAGGCGTAGTTGAGAAAGTACATGAGCCAACCGGCTGGGTTAACTCGATGGTGGTAGTGAAAAAATCAAACAATAAACTCAGGATCTGTATTGACCCCAAAGATCTGAACAAGGCAATTAAAAGAGAACACTTTCCTATGAAAACGATAGATGACGTCACAGCTAAAGTAGCAAACGCCAAGTACTTCTCAAAATTCGACGCGGAGTCAGGATTTTGGCAAATTGTGCTAGACGAGCCAAGCAGTAACTTGTGCACATTCAACACACCTTTCGGACGTTATAAGTTCCTCAGAGTACCATTTGGTATATCAAGTGCACCTGAAGTATTCCAGAGAGCCATGTCAGAAGTTTTCAAGGACTTGGATGGTGTCGAAACAATAGTGAATGATATCCTTATTTGGGGTGAGACACGTGAACAACATGATGCTAGGCTACGTTCAGCACTAGAAACGGCTAGGAAAGCTAATGTGAAACTGAACAAGTCAAAATGCCAGATAGCAGCCACAGAATTAAACTATATTGGACATACACTCAGCGCTCAGGGTTTGAAATCAGATGCGGAGAAAGTGAAAGCAATACAGGAAATGCCTGACCCTGAAGACAAGGCAGGATTGATGAGATTTATGGGTATGGTTCAATATGTTGCTAAGTTTATACCAAACCTGGCAGAAGTTAGCGCACCACTTCGGCAACTTCTGGAAAATGACGTTTGCTGGGATTGGGGCCAATCACAACAAAATAGCTACAAACGGCTGAAAGATCTCGTAAGTGAGGCACCTGTGCTCAAGTTTTACGACGTTAAACAACCAGTAACATTGTCAGTCGACGCGTCCTCAACAGGACTTGGAGCAGTGCTATTACAAAACAACCAGCCAGTGGCATATGCGTCAAAATCTCTCACAACCGCACAAAACATTATGCTCAAATAGAGAAGGAGATGTTGGCAATAGTGTTTGGCACAAGCAAATTCCACCAATACATTTACGGAAAGAAAGTTTCTGTACAGACTGATCATAAACCACTTGAAATCATAGTGAGGAAGCCACTCTACTTAGCACCAACCAGACTGCAGAAAATGCTATTGAAGATTCAACCATACGACCTTGACATAAAGTATGTACCAGGAAAAGAACTCCATGTCGCAGATGCCTTGAGTAGAGCACACTTGCCTGAAGTTGGCGACACAACAAAACTGGAGGATGACTACGAAGTTCTTAGTGTATCAGCAGTCTCTGACGAAAAATTTAACAAGATCAGCAAGGAAACAGAGAAAGATCCATCCCTGAAAATTGTTAAATCACTAATTCTACTCGGATGGCCGGACAACAGGTCAGATGTTCCGTCACCAGCTTTAGATTACTGGAATTTTCGTGATGAGCTTAGTGTACGAAATGGTGTGATCTTAAAAGGTGAAAGGCCTGTTATTCCAAGTGCTATGAGATGTGAAATGTTTGGAAAAATTCATGAATCTCACTTAGGTGTAGAAAAGTGTAGGCAAAGGGCTAGTGATGTTATATTTTGGCCCAAAATGTCCAAAGATATATCTGATGTAGTGTCGCGCTGTGCTATTTGTCAGGAAAACAGGATGAGCAAGCCAAAAGAACCACTCATACCTCATGAAGTTCCATTGAGACCATGGTCGAAAGTGGGTGGTGATTTGTGTCAGATAGATGGTGATCATTTCTTAGTTCTAGTAGATTATTATTCAGAATTCTTTGAAGTGTCAAAGTTGAAGGATACCAGGAGCGAAACCGTTATCATCAACTGCAAATCACAGTTTGCACGCCATGGAATACCAGAATTACTTATTACTGATAATGGTCCTCAGTTTGATTGTCGGGAATTTCAGAGATTCACCAAGGAGTTTGGGTTCGAACACAGGACCTCAAGTCCTATGTTTCCACAATCTAATGGAATGGCCGAAAAGGCTGTGCAAACTGTCAAAAAGCTTCTAAAAAAGGCTAAACAAGATGGGCGAGATCCATACTTGGCCCTATTGGATCACAGGAGTACACCCAGAGACTCGAACCTAGGATCACCGGCACAGAGACTCATGAGTCGAAGAACCAAGACTCTGTTACCTACATCAGAAACATTGTTGAAACCAGAACTAGTTGTAAATGTGAAGGAAAATTTGGAAAGTAAAAGATTACTTCAGAAACATTACCATGACATTGGAGCAAGGGAAGCAACTCCATTTGAAATCGGACAAAATGTCAGAGTCCGAATCAAACCTGGTAATTCTCCCTGGATACCTGGACGCGTAGTCGCAAAGGACACCACGCTCATACATTGTGAACTCACAAGGCAGGGCTTATCGACGAAACTCCAATCACATTCTTCGGTCAAAAGAACATTTTACCAAGAAACAGCTTGATGTCAATCCTCAGGTTAAACATCATGAATACCAACTTGATATTCCAAATAGTAGTGAAATACAACCCGAGTTGTATCGCGAGGACCTTGACCATCCAAAAAACCTCAGCCAGGAATCTTCAAAGCCAGCTGTTTCAAATTAATTTTTGTTTTGTTAAAAAATATAGACTGTTAATGAACTGTTAATGAAACATTTTTCTAAATTTTAATTGTTTATTCATTAATAGTAACACTATATAACATAATAGCATATTGATAATAATGAATAGTGTATTAATAATTATGAATTATCTCAAAAACAAAAAAACAAAAAAAAAGGGAGATGTAATGATATCACACGCATGTTGTTCATCTAATTATTGCAGTTATTAGTATAACTTGTATTGTGTGTTACGTCATAGGTTCTTGTGTGAGCCTCGTTATGGGAATAAAACACTTGTTCACAGTCCGCCATCTTATGAGTTATCATTACAAGAACTAGAAAAATGTTTGCTTGCATTTATGATATGCAACCATATCTTGAATTGTATTATTTGATATCCATGTACTGAATTAAAAACAAGTTTTATTTTTTTAAATTCACATTATATGTCTATTCAGATTTGAGATATTTTTGGCAGACATGTATGTTGCCTGTAACACATGTCGTCATTGTATAGTAATAAATGAAACATTGAATGGTTCTTATTTTGTGATAAATCACACAACAGTACTTCGACTTTTTCTAAATAAATATAAAAGTTCACTGCATGCTATGGAAAATATATACCATATACATATAGAAACACTGAATGGAATCAATCATCTTACTTTGAAAAACAAAAACCCAAAAAATGAAAGTAATAAATAATTTGATAATTAGTTCTATTTTTTTCTACAAATTTACATTTATATTGACCATTAAATACTTTGACTTTTTCCCACTCTTTCATATGAAA